ATATAACAGCCTATCTCACACACACACACACACACACACACACACACACACACACACACAGGAAAACACATACACAAGCACAAACATGTACAAGAAATGAAGATGTAATTAATGTCTTCAGTGGTTTTAGTTTCTCGTTTTGTGTTGTGTTTTGTTTTTGTGCAATAGTAGAGATTGAACATGAGGCTTGTCTATCCATGAGAGACAAGTGTTCTACCCCATTCATTTTAAAATAGTTTCTGTCACAATATGTGTAAGAAATAAGCATCTCCACATGGTAGCAGTAGGTGTATTGCAACATTTCATCAAGTTGTCTTTTCTTCTCAACTCTACCCCTAGAGATAATTCTAAGTAACAAATATTTTGAAATAATGATGAGATGAAGGTACAAATTAATGCTGCTGTGTCAAGGCAGGGGTGCTCTTCTTGGATTTAGCAATCACTGCTATATCTTCAAATGTTCTTAAAAATAGCAGGACCCAGTGCCCATGGTTTTAATAGGTCATGATTTCCTATGGTTGTCACAGGTATAAAATAATCAAACTAACAAATTGCTGTTGAAGGTGAAACTGTTACTAATCTTGCCATTTGAGGATAAATGAAAAGAAAATGCAATTATAAGTAATAAAAGTTAGAAATTTAACCATAGTACACTATGCTTTCTGTATTATGAGTAATATATTATCAAATGCTATATATTAATGTTAGTGTAAAATGTTAGATACATATATTCGTAGATACAAATATAACAGAAAATTCTCTCTTTGTGTATTCTTTACTGTCCTATAAATCACTAGTCATCTGTTTGCCTATGTCACTTCTTCCTGGGATCTATTGGATCTAGTCTGTGTGGAAATTATTCCAATACTTTCTACGTAGGACAAGAAAGCACCTCAATTTGTCATTTTAGAGAAGACCCAAAAGACAGATGTGAGACTACCTACAAACCCTGAGACTTGTCTGCACTCTCCTTGCTCTCCCCCCCACACAGGCGCCACTGAGTTCGCCTCTGAGGTGTCAGCGCTGCGCAGGAGTCTCAGTGAGCTGCCACATGTCCCTGTAAGAACTCGTGGGCCCGCAGCTGCCCAGTTCTTGATACTGTTCACAGTCTGTCCACTCACTATAACCCGGGGCTGCATGAAGATGCTGTGTGCTTATTGGAGACATTATCTACTGCTTTGATTTTACTCTACTAGTTTCTCTACTACATGGTGAGTTTCAAAACCTATGGCATTACCATCTGCCTAGTTCTATCATATTTGACCTTTGAAGCTAGACTCAATACTATTGCAATAACAGAAAATACTTGATGAGGAACTAGAAATACCAAGTACATCAAAAAGGTGAATCCCAGCTTTTTCTTGACCAGGATTTTTTAAAGCTAATTCCTTATTAAAATGTATAAATAAATATCTAAAGCACATTGCTAATGTTTACATTATGATGCCTGCACTGACTTTAAAACTGCATGACCATGTCCTCCATTAACAATAAGCGTGCACAGCAATCAGATCTTGGTTGCTAAGTTCCATTCTCCAACTGGCAAGGGGAGGAGATGAGGGCTGTCTACAGAAATAGCTGGTTCTAGAGCAAAGGCAGAGAATGCATAATTATAAACCAAGATTACTGTATAGAATCAGAAATTATGGGAATTTTCAAAACAAGGGAATGAAGATATGTTTAACATTAAAACCAGAAACAACCCCCCCTCAAAAAAACTTGCACCTACAGAAACAATTAGAACAACAAGCAAAAGGAATATTATACCTATGCTAGAAATCCCAAATAGCATACAGGAAGACCCTTCAAATGAACTCAGAGAGGCAGTACTTTTTACTATAAGATTAACTCATTGTAATATCTACTATAATAGTTTCTGCAAATCCATCGTAAGCTGACATACATGATACCAGATGACTACAGAGTAAAATACAAGCAATTCTCTTAACATGCCAGGCACTTGATGGTTCTCAATGACTCTTTTTTTAACATTAATTTTTATTTAAATTAAAAACAATCTTATTTTACATACCAATCCCAGTTCCCTCTCACTCCTGTCCTCCTATTCCCCCCATCCCATCCTCCATCTACTCCTCAGGGAGGATGAGGCTCCCCATGGGGGAAACATCAAAGTCTATCACATCATTTGGGGAGGACCTAGGCCCTCCTCCCCCACAATCCCCCTCGTATCTACACTGATAGGGTATACCTACATAGGGATTGGCCTCTCAAAGTCCATTCCTGCTCTAGGGATAAATACTGGTTCCACTGCCAGAGGCCCCATTGACTGCCCAAGACCCCCAACTGACACTCACATTCATGGGATCTGGTTTGGTCTTATGATGGTTCCCCAAATGTCAGACTGGGGTCCTTAAGCTCCTACTTGCTCATGTCAGCTGTTTCTGTGGGTTTCCCCAGCATGGTCTTGACCCCTTTGCTCATCACTCCTCCCTCTCTACAACTGGATTCCAGGAATCTGGCTCAGTGCTTAGTTGTGAATCTCTGCTTCTGCTTCCATCATCTACTGGAAGGTTCTATGGTGGCATTTAAGGTAGTCATCAATCTCATTATAGGGGAAGGGCATTTAAGGTAGCCTCTCTAGTATTGCTTAGTTCTTAGTTGGGGTCATCCTTGTGGATTCCTGGAGATTTCCCTAGGACCAGCTTTCTTGTTAAGCCCATAATGGTTCCCTCTATCAAGGTATCTCTTTCCTTGCTCTCCTTCTCTGTCCTTCCCCCAACTAGTCCTCCTTGATCCCTCAAGTTCTCCTCCCCCACTCCCTTCTCCCCTTCTCTGATCCTCTTTCTCCTACCCCCCTTCTGTGCTCCAAATTTTCTCAGAAGATCTTGTCCCTTTCACCTTCTTGGGGGTCCATGTATGTCTCTCTTAGGGTCAAATGACAGAAACACACTTAAGAAATTGCTCAACATCCTTCCATCAGGGAAATGCAAATCAAAACAACTCTGAGATACTATCTTACATCCTGTCAGAATGGCTAAAATCAAAAACACTAATGACAGCTTATGCTGGAGAGGATGTGAAGAAAGGGGAACATTCCTCCATTGTTGGTGGGAGTGCAAACTTGTACAGCCACTTTGGAAATCAGTATGGTGGTTTCTCAGGAAAATGAGAATCAGTCTACCTCAAGATCCAGCAATTCCACTCTTAAGCATATACACAAAGGATGCCCATTCATACCATAATGACATCTGTTCAACTACATTCATAGCAGCATTATTTGTAATAGCAAGAACCTGGAAGCAAACTAGATGCCCCTCAACCAAAGAATGGATAAAGAAAATGTGGTACATTTACACAATGGAGTACTACTCAGTGGTTAAAAAAAATGACGTCTTAAAATTGGATGGAACTATGAGTAAGGTAACCCAGACACAGAAAGACAGACATCATATATACTCACTCATAAGTGGATATTAGACATAGAGCAAAGGACAACCAGAGAAGCTAGGAAACAAGGAGGACTCTCAACAACTCTCAATTTCTTTTACATAATACTACATCTGAGGGTTCTCTGGGAAGCTAATGGCAAAACTGTGATTCAGGTAAATCCTACCTTACAGTAGCATATAATGACCACAGAAGAGGATTTGAGGGATACCAAGTTTCAAAGGTGTTTCAGTAATACTTACTTCTTTATTGACACTGGATCTGTTGAGTAGCATATAGCTTAATTGAACTTAAGTGACAGTACTACTAGAGCAATTCAGTGGCATTGCTGGGTCTGTTCCCATAAAAACTTTGAACTCAACATTTGTCAAATGACATGTTTTTGGCAAGATAACAGAATCCAAATTCCCTTAATATCTCCCCCTCAGTTTTAAAACTCTGAGGGCATCAATGTCAAAAGATTAGTAAGTATCAGTTAAGTCTCAAAATGATTCCATTTCAAAGGATCACAGGATATTTTTACTATGCTAAGTGATAGTCAGTCTTAAAGTATGAGTTTCAGCTACAATTTTGTAAGTGAAAGGTGGCAAGCATCCTGAATGAGAAGGCCTCTCCTATATGCTAACTGCTAAAAATGTCCCATCTCCCTGAAGCAGTGCTTAGATAGAGGTGACATCCGGAGAAGGCAATGAGCTCATATGGTTACTGTCCTCATGAGTGAGCCTAGTGTCCTGAACACCAGCAGCAGCAGCACACTCCAGAATCCTGAGTGAGGATCCCAGTATTAGAATGATAAAAAGTGCATTTCTCTTTCTGAAGCCACCCCGCCTACTGGATTCTGTCACACTCAGATTAAGGCAAGCATCCTGATCAAAAGGCAAGAATTGCCTTGGTTTAGACATTAGGATTTCCTAAAAGTGAATGCCCTTTCCCTTTGAGGATCAATGCCGTGCTTTTAAACTCTAAAGTATTTCCATTGCAAGCAAACTGTGAGATCACACGTGACCAGCACTCATTCTCAAAGTGGAACACTTCGTGAATCTGCCAACTTAGAAAATGTCTCACAAGCTGGGCGTTTGTGGCGCACATCTTTAATCCCAGCACTCGGGAGGCAGAAGCAGGTGGATCTCTGTGAGTTCGAGGCCAGCCTGGTCTACAAGAGCTAGTTCCAAGACAGGCTCCAAAACAATACAGAGAAACCCTGTCTCGGAAAACCAAAAAAAAGAAAAAAAGAAAAAAGAAAATGTCTCACAAACACAGAAAAGTTCACAAACATTCTAAGAGGGTGAAATACAAAGGGCTTTTAATGATAAATTTATCTAACTCCAAACAATCTTATTTTTAAAAGAAGAAAAAAGTGTATTTTGTTTTGTTTCCAAAAGTAAGTTAAATTGCTTCATTCATTTGCTTGCTGGGTACTCTTAACTCAACAGTCTGTGTATAGCTTTCTCTCTTCCAAAATACTCAACCACCCTGGGAGAGAATGCATAAAACCCACTACAAACACCGCCTGCTGTCAAGCACACAGTATGCAGCTATGCTGAAGGCCAGTACTTCTGCTTGCCCATGATATACGGAGGTGGGACACTTACCGAGCTAGGGCTGGAATGCCGCCGGACTTTAGGGGACTCCTTGCCAGCAGAGGAGGACTTAAAGTTAATGCAAGCATTGTTCTCAGAATGCACCCTTTTTACTTGATTGGCGGGCTTCTCAAATGGGTCAAAAGTGCTCTGTGTTCTCTGAACTCTGACTTTTTTATCCTCAGGGATTGTGTCCAGGTGCTTGATCACCGAATCCATCCCCTGGCAGTTCCGTGTGGACATCTTTGTGACACATATCTGGAAAAGAAAAGAAATGACTTGAGGACTCTCCACTGAAACAGCATGATCACTAAACACATTAATTTTTCCAGTGTTCATTTCAACTTCAGGAAATACCCCAAAAGCCCACTTTTATGAGCTATACTTACAATACAGAAAATTCCTTATAACTATCCTGTGTACACTCGTACTTTAAAAACTTACACTTTAAAAAATGAAAAGAAAATTTATCTATCTAAAACAAATAAACAAATGAAAAAAAAACACCTTATGGCACAGGCCATGTATCCTACAAGGTTCTGGACTCTGTCTCAGGTTTTATCATCTGATTAAAAGTGGATATTTCTAAATCATCTAAAGAGTGGATAAGCCAACTTCATTTAAGAAAAAGAGAGAGAGAGAGAGAGAGAGAGAGAGAGAGAGAGAGAGAGAGAGAGAGAGAGAGAACAACAACAACAAAACGCACAGTTGGTTGGAATGGGATAGGCATCTAGTCACAGAAGCTAGAGAAGAAAGGGTTACTTTGTTTCAAAGGCTTATGTGTGAAAGTGCAAGTTGAAAACCTGCACCATCTTGGCTTAATATACAGTGGAGTAAACACAGTAGTTAGGTGACAAATAATGAGGATCTTACGTGTCACCTGAGGGCCACGTGAGGAGGGCCTGGTAGTCCTGACCCTGAACATTACCATGAGGTGGTGAAGTGTTAGTAGGTGAGGCCCAGAAGAAGGAAGTTAGGTCAACCTGGTTTCAGGTTGTCTAGGATATTTTGTCGCAGCAACAAAAAATCTACACATCAGGTTCTCTCTTCTCTCTAAAGAAACGATAATTCTGAATGGAACTGCTTTTACAGATTTTCCTAAACAGTTTCTGCATCCCTGTGTGCTATCAAATGAGAAAAACTGGAAAATATTTAATAAAAGCTCATGTTGTTAAAGACCAGCTTTTGGAATAACATACAGGTTGAGTCCATTCAGAGACTAAATGTCTCTGCGAATATGGATACACGCACTGATGTAAAAACATAGACACAGATACAGCTATAGGCTTCACTGTTTCACAGTGTGTACAAGCACAGTTGGGGGAAAAAATCAAGCAGGATATCGGATATCTGCAGACAAGAGTAAAGCTAATCTTAAATTTATAAACTTTTATTTGAACTATGTAATAAGTATGCAACTTTATATGATAAGAAACAAGTTAAATGTGTGTGTGAAATAAAGCAAGTATTTAAAGCTTCAGGAAACAAAAATTAACTTAATATTTAGCATCCACCCTGCCTCAAGAATTTGCCACCATTGTGTAAGCATAGGATGAATTATAATTAAACCAAGTGAGAAAGATCCTTTGTAGCATCCCTCAGAGGTGCTGAGAATATTTGGGAGTTTGGGGTTTCTTGTTACTTGTGTTTTTTTATGTACATGTATATGTGTCTGTCTGACTCTGTGTGTGTGTGTGTGTGTGTGTGTGTGTGTCATTTATGTCGTACCCTGAGAGGCCAGGAGAGAATGATGACTTTCAAATGGTTGCAAACCATCAACACAGATGCTGGGAACCACACCCAGGCCTCTAGAAGAGCAGCAAGTGATTTTAACTGCTGAGCCGATTCTCCAGCTCTGAAGATATATATTTTTTAAAGATTCAATATAGAATCTTCTACACATGATCAAAACTTAATAATATGCCATAAGTATGCTAAAATGCAATCGATATTTTCAAGGATTTGTGTTCTTTTTAAAAGTAGGAAGGAAATAAATAAAATATCGGCATCACTGAGTCAGTCAACAGCCTGAAGTATCACTAATCCCTAAAGACAAGAGGTTCTAAGACAAATTCATAAACATATAATACTAATATATGCATACATATGCATAGGAAATACATGCACATAAATATATAACACCAAATGAACATAGAAAAGACAAAATATAAAGACATAACATTGAAGTCAATCTTAAGATACTTTAGATACTTAGAAGAGTGGATGGAATCCAAAATAAACATAAAATTAAATAATAATTCAATATCAAAATGGAAACAAAATAGAAGACAATAATGAAAATTAATAAAAATTAAAACACAAAGTTAAAAATTGACCAACATCTAAGTCGACTGACAAAGGAATGAAAAAAGTCCTATTTCTTTCAATTTAGACTCCAGTTCACAGGTGAATTTAAAATAAATCAGCATACCATAGTAATTTTGCAGTAGCATTTTTTTCAGGAACCCTACTAGCAAGCCATATGTGAGAGACATTACTTATCTTTTTAAGGTTTTTATTTTAGTTATATGTATGCATATTTTGCCTGCATATATGTATATGCACCACATGCGTGCTTGGTGCCCGCAGAAGCCAGAGCATGTGGTTGGAGACCCTGGAACCGGAATGACAAACACTTGTAAGCTACAGAGTGGATGCTGGGAACAGATCCCAGGTCCCCCTGTAAGACCAGCAAGTGTTTTAACTGCTGAGCCTTCTCTCCAGCATCTGAGAGTCAACAATTCTTTACCTAAGTCCATACTACGTTACTACTCCTTTTCAATACTTGTTCAGTCTTCTTGTAATAAAACATATACACAAATATCCACCCAAATAATTAATCATATGTTTTATACAAAAGATCTGGGGTATCAAAACATTCATCCAAAAGTTACTATTTAAAAAGCACAACCCTGCCACAAAATAATAAATATATATGTTCATGAACAGCTATACCCAAGATTCTTCAACTGAAGCTCATTATAATAGGTGGGTTCTAAAACAATACCTAATATCTCCTGTCTTTGAATAATTCCCAACCTTTTCCACGCAACTCTGATGTGATATCATGTAATTACATTGTTCCTTATGCAAACATTAGATCACTTGGAGGGATAACAAAACTAGGAGTGCCATTCAAAGTCAAGAAAAGGAAGTCGGAAAGCTGCAGGCTGAGAGGTCTGAAAGACAGCAATGGCATTCTGAGAACTATGCTAAGCAACCATAAGGGATAACACGGACTCAGCCGGACAGCTGTCAAGGAAATGAGGACCACGGAACTGCACACACAGTGAAACTAGTTCTGTGGACAAGTGAGAGGACCTTGATCTCCAGGTGAAAACCAGCCCCCAGACAACAACCCGACTTCAGCCTTGTAAGATGCTGTGCAAAGAAACCCCAGGCCACACCAAGACTTTCAGCCTACTGAAATCATGAAATAAGCCTTCTCCTTTGTGGTACTATGTTACCCAAGAGCAGAAACCTAATAGGTACCTTTACTGAAACAGCTTTAGTCACTCTGATACCCAAGCAGAACTTACAAACAAACAAACAAAAAATCAAAACAAAACACACACACAAAAAAAAAAAAACAAAAAACACTTCTGCAGGTACCACTAACACATTTGATACACTGTATCACATCCAGGCCCAAATAAGCAATGGTTGTCTTGACTGCTGTCAACATACATGGCTATATACTGAGTACCATCAACCATAACTTCATATACTCCAAAGCCTACGAACACATCTCTCCACATAATTAAGTTTATATACAATTTATGCAGGTCTCCAGCACGGCCAGGCTGACACGAATCATACCGGTGTCCACACCTTCTCTGCCTGCACCTTCATCAAGGGAAGAAATGTATACCAAGTTTTCCACATAACAACAAGTTACTCTTCTAGACAGGTTTTGTGTTTCCAGTATTCAGGACATGGAATTTAAACGTGATCTGCCCATGTCTGTTGCCGCTGAGCACAACAGAAAGCTGAGCTTGAGTCCTACTGAACACCTGGAGTTACTCTGCTGCCATGGCACTCACCTGACAGTTGTCCTGGAGACCCTGAATTAAAGAACTATGGTTCAGAAAAGGACCCAGCAAGACGAAACAAGAGCAGTATCCACTCCTTGCTGGAAGCTGGAAGTTCTAGAGGCTCTTAGCATAAAAGCATCGAGTAACTCAGACCCAGCAGGAGGAGGACAGGAAGACAGACTACATACGGGTGCTACCACCCTGCACACACATCTTCCTGTGAATCCCTCCATCACCTGTTAGCAAGCAAGAGCCGTGGCTAAGAAGATAACCTCATAAACAAGAAGGTTCAGGGCCATCACCCTGTACTTCACAAGGGAGATTTCTCCAGCCAATAAACAGTAACCCTTTTATCCATTTCCAAGTTTCACTCTCGTCCTCACTGCATGCCTGGATTCTGGCTGATGTTATACCTCCCACTGGAGAAAAAAAAAATAGATTCCAGCTCACAGGACATAAGTGTTGGGGGTGGCTTGGAGAAAAGAATCAAAGAAGAAAAATGAAATGGAGGCTAGGAAGCATCCAGCTATTTGTCTGGAAAGCTAGGGACCTTTTTAAAATATTAGGAAGAATGGTAGCAGGACAAGAGACTCAGTCTAAAAGAGGTCCCACTGATAAAACCATGGTTGCTTATTCAACCATCAGAAAGAAACGTAATGTTGTGTTTAAATCAAATGAGTTACTGAAAAAAGCATGAGTTCAATATGATTTCAAATGACAAAATCTTCTAAAGTAGGAATAGCAATCACAATAGAAAAGAATGAATGCAATGCAACATCACTAGTCTTAACACAGAGCCTGTTGAGCAGCCAAGTAATGCTAATCCAAGTAGGAAGTTTATGGAGGACATGGGTGGCTGCTCAGGGCCTGGGCGGGTGCTGGGTGGTACCAGCATAACATGGTCTGCTGCTCCAGAGATAACAGGGCAGGGCCATGCAACAGTGCAGGAAGCTGAAGGGCAGGTAATGTTTCCCAAGTGACATATTCCAAAATGCACATCAGTTAGACAGACAGATGGAATGCCCACTCGCGGAGGGCAGTTATTAAAATGAGTTAACTTTTAACAATGTCTGTGAAATAACCCCTAAAAAGGAAACCAATTTGACTTCCATTCCAAGATTCAAGTCTGAGTCTCTAATGTAGACAAGACGGCCAAGATCCCAAATGATCAACAACGAAGGTTCTACAACCTTTGATACTGTGCACCTGTAAAGACGACATAAT